CGGGGCTGATGCACCAGCCGTGGGGTGCGTGATGCCAGCCCTGGGCTGGCGTGGTCCTCCGGGGCGCTGGGCACGGCCGCGACGCGTCAGAGCTGGGCACGAGCGCGAACTTCTCGGAGCTGAGCCCGTGCTGCAAATGCCCTGCGTTGGGAGCAGCTTTTCCGAGCCTCCGAGGGCTGCAGAAGAACGGACACGCCGCCTTACACGTTGCACGTTAGCGGAAGGCCTTCAGCGCTTTCTGCTGGTGCAGAAAACCTTTCATGGTTGTGACGGCTCTTTATTCAGCAGCAGGCCAGCGGTCTGGTTTTGGCAACCACGCGGATCCTGCAAACTGTAAAAGAACTTAGGAGCAGCTCTTATTTTTAAAAATCGATTTTGAGATGGGGGATGTATAAATACGAATCTTAATATTAGTCTCGTATGTGACCAGACCAGCTTCAATTAGTGCAAATCTGCAAGGCCACCTTGATTCAACTCATGATGAAACATCACCCATCAGATCTGAGAGTACCTTGCTGAGATGTTGCTTTTGCGTGTAATTAAAGGGCAGATAATTTTTCTGGCCGTTTGGACGGCCAGACAGTCGCACGGCTGTCTGCGTCGCAGTCCTCACACCTCATCTCTGATTAAATAAGACGTCTACGTCTGAGCTGTTCTTCTAGACTCTTACTGCCGTCAGCAGAGAGAAAGAGCCACGTGTAGGGCACAAGTCATCTTATCTCTGAGGGAGAGGTCAGAAATCGGGCGGATGAATTGTGCCCAGCAGTGCTCGCTTCTCATCGCTCCCTGTTGAAAGTCCGGACGCCTTGCCGCAGCGCGGCCCTCGGCCTTGTAAAGGTCTACACCCGATCCCGCGACTCCACCCTGCGATGGTGGACCTTTCACAGCACCTGGGTTTATCCTCGCGGTCAGCCAAGCTGACGGAGGGGATTTGGGTGCTCGCGTGGCACGGGAAGGAGAAAGTCTGGTTTTGAAATGGTAATTTGTCCCGCTGGCCTCAGACCCGTTCTCGTTGCAATCAATGGCAAAGTTCTCATTGACTTTATCTCCGTTGTTTAATAACAGTTGAGAGCATGACGTAACGGGCAGAAAATAGCATTTGTTGTTATCAGAGTAAAAGTTTAATTTCTTGTATTCTCCTCCACGGCCGCCCGCCCCTTTGAGCCTTACCCTTTGGAGCCTGCGAGCAGATTTCCAAGCTCTTCCTGATTGTTTCTGCAGCCCCGTTACACAACACGCGGCCCGCTGGCTCTGTCGCTTGGTCGTCAGCGGCCTCAGTAGCGAGGGATACGCAGGAAGGGTAGTCGCCTCCATTGGGGTTTTAGGGCTTTCTAAACGAATAACGCCGAAACGAACAGCGCGTCTGATGTTGTGAGGCGCGGCGAGCGCGTGTCGGGAGCTTC